ACCCCTCAAGGGCGGTTCCCTGGGAAATAAGCCCCACCCCGCAGGCACCCTGGCCCCGCCCCCTCACCTGGCCCCGCCCCCGCCCAGCACCAGGGCAATGGTGTTGCCGGTGAGCACCCGCGCCAGGCGGGAGAAGTCGCTGTGCCGGTCAGCGCGCCTGGAGAAAACCTTCTCGTAGAGCTCGTGCTGGGATGCGGGGGGGACAGAGAGGCGACGCATGAGGATGGGGGTGCAAGAGCCAACGTCTGGACCTCCACACCACCGCTCCTGCCCCCACACGTCTCTAAGCCCACCGCTACAGAGGCCCCGCTCCCGAACGGTCCTAGAGGCTGGTGGTCCCTGGGAAGGCTCCTCTCCAGGCACGGCGCTCACCAACTTGGCAGGGCTGCGGCGGGAGAAGAGGCGGCGTGGACAGCGCAGATGCAAGTGCCCCGAGCACCAGCTGCGCATGTTGAGCCACTCCACGGTGCGCGTGGGGCCTGAGCCCTCCTCCCGGTGCAGCAGGACCAGCTGCTTGAGCGCGCGCACCGCTGTATTCTCCAGCATCTGCTCCAGCTGGGGGGGAACAGAAGGTGGAAGTCACTAATCCTCGGTCATGACCTCCCCGCCACCCACCCCCCACCCCCGGCTGAGCTTGGGTCCCTGCTTGCCTAGCCCCACGGTGAGGGTGCACGGGGCCTGCTGCAGGCACCGGAGGGCAGGGGACGAGGTCCGGGGGTGGGGGGAGGGGTCACTGTGCACGGTCTCTGGACCTGGCCGAGAGTGGGCTCCTGGTCGCCCAGGCCCACGATGAGGATGCAGTCGGCCTGGCGCAGGCAGCGGACGGTCCAGGGAGTCAGCGATGCGTCAGTCTGGTAGAGCACGATGCGGTGCGCGTCCTCCTGCTGGGCCAGCCATCCTGACAGCCGGAATTCTTGGATGCTGGGACAGGGGTGGGGGTGAGTCATCCCAGGGGGCTGGGCAGGGGTCCCACACCTCCCAGAAACCATGTAGTTCCATTACTGGGAGGAGGGGAACTTAGACACCCAGGCCCCCACATGTCCATGCCCCATGGTCTCCCACTGACTGAATGGATGGGGCACATGCTCCTTGGTTCACAGCCCAGGACTCAACCAGATCTGAAGGCATTCTGAGCTTCAAGTCTATCCGCCACCTCCTCAAACTCCGAACACGTACCTATCGAGAGCAGAAGCCCCGAGGCGGGCCCGGATGGTGTCACTGTTGAGAAGGAGTGTAGGCCCTGGGGATGGGTGAGGATGGAGAGTCAGACACCCAGGTCCAGAGAACTGGGGGCCTGTCCCGTAACACCTCCCACCCCACCCCCACTGACCACGGCCCCGCCCACACTCAGACCAATGGCCTGTTCTCACCACGCCCCACGCCCCC